CCGTTCATTGACCAAGAAATGAAAATTTTCATAATTTTAACCAAATAAAACAAGGACATTTTAGTCAAAACATATTTATCCTCCTACGAAATTCTTCTTCTTTCTTCTCCACATCCCTCCGCTCCATCATAGAACTTAAACCACAATTCACTAATCGTGCTGACGACAATCACCCATCCGTCACTGGTGTCGTGCCACCACAGTAAATCACCAGATTCGACACATTCGTCCAGACCTAAAAGATCGAGGATCGGAATGAATGACCTATGCTGCGAATTGGAGAAAATTTCAGCATAGTCCTGAATTTCGAACCTTGTACTCACTAAACCCAGTCATCTGCCATGATGCCATCACTAGACAACATAGAACATCTTAACGGCACAGTCCCCGTCAGTGGCGCGGTGGGTGAAGATGGGTACAATTTGCGGTGGTGGTGCAACGCCGTTGATTGCTAGGTGATGGTTCTGCGATGGAGGGGACGAATGGGGAGAAGAAAGAAAAATAATTGGGTAATTATATTATCACTACAAATTCTAATTACTACACCACATTATAATTATACCATAATTAAAATATATTTTTAATTAAAAAAACACCACAACAAATTTAAAATTATACTCCCAATTCAATAAAATCAAAAAATTAAAAAAAGAATACAATATTGTAGTGTACTTATCATAATCCTCATTTTTCTCAACCTTTCCCCTCATTTTGGTTTTTTTGAAAGCAAATACATGTAATTCCTAAAGGAATGCTTCAAGTAGACTTTAACTTGGAAATGAAAGTGCCTAGAGGTTATCTTCCTAATTATGAAAGTTTTGAGGAGTTGATTCAGAAAGGAATTCAAGATTGGGGTAAACAGGATAGACTTGCACGCAACACACTTCTGATCGTTTTAAATTCATAATAACTTTGCTTGAATTAACACAAAATCAAATTCTTAATTTCTAAACTTGACAAATAAATTGAAAAAAAATATTCGGTAAATCATTCTCAAATAGAGTATAAATTCATTTACTGTGAGGAAAAAAATTATCTTATCGCCGTGGAAGAAAGCAAAAGCCATTGGAAAGGCCATGAGCAATGAGAAGTTGAGGAAAAAGAAATAAAGAAATTAGGTTTTATATTTGTGGTGTCACTATAATTTATTTAATTAAAAAGTATATTTAAACCCTAATTATGTCATTTTACTTAAGGANAAAGAAATTAGGTTTTATATTTGTGGTGTAACAATCATTTATTTAATAAAAAAGTATACTAAAATCCTAATTATATAATTTTACCTAATGATATTTAAGTAAATAAAAAAAATGTGGTGTACTTACTAAAATTTGTAGTGGTAATATAATTACCCAAAATAATTTTGTAGAAGGGTAAATGTGTTTTGATTAAAATGCCCTTGTTTTATTGGGTTAAAATTATGAAATTTTCCATTTCTTGGTCAATTAACGGTCACACTAACAATTTCCATCAGTTTGGACTCGACTTACGAATTTTTTAAAAGCTTGGTATCTATGGTGGCACAAATGAAAGGTTTGAGTTAAGTCTGCTATTAAGTGAAAGGTTTGGTACCTTTGCTGCAATTATCCCTTGGAAAAATAGGGTTCAACATGTACCTGATCCAACGAACACGATTGAAGTTTGGTGGGAGGAAGAAATTGTCAATCTTCCATGTTTAACTCTGAAATTTTGGACTCATAGCAAACTCTTTGCATGACTTATCACCTTATATTATTCTTACCGCTTGAGCATATTC